AAGGAGCCTTGACCGAGTAATTAAAGAAGTCTTCTGGGAAGAGGTCGCACATTGTGATGGGGATGGACGATCTTTGTGTCGAAATTTCATTATCTCCAACACTTTCACATTGTTCTGGAGGTTGACAAGAGCTGTTTTGCCCCCTTTTCGACTGATAAACTTGTGGACAAGATGGTTGCTGCTTGTCCAATTTCTTCGAAGCGATCTTCGAAAGGCATTCCTCACAATCTTCATAGCAAGGAGCCTTGGTCGAGAAATTGAATAAGTCTTCGAGGAAGAAAAGATCCCGCATGAACGATCTTTGTGTTGAAATTTTCTTATCTTCAACATTTTCACATTGCTTTGGAGGTTGGCGAAAGCTGCTTTCCCCCCTTTCTGATTGGTGCACTTGTGGAGAAGACATATGTTTCTCGTGCAGTTTCTTCGAAGCGACATGAGTCCATCCTTCAATTTCACTTAACTTGGAGCATGCCCCCAACAGTCGAGGTGAAGACTTTGAGTCGAAAGAGCCAGAAGTGACATCTTTCTTAGGGATTTCATCTTCAGTGCCGTCCTCTTGGGTTTGTTGGCATGAAGATTTGCCAGTGTGGACGATGATGCGCCTCCTTACCTTCAGTGGTCCTTTTGTATCGACCTCTAGGATTGCTTGGCGCTTCATCCTTGAAGGAATCAAGCTTCGAACGTCACCTTTTTCTGCTAGCCCATCGAACTTTTCTTCCTTTGGTGTTGTCTTCCTCTTTCCAAAAGGCTTCTCATTATCTTCAAATCTTTCCGAAGCTGATCGTCGCAGAGGAGAGATAGCTGTGTTGCTTTGTTTCTTAGGCTTTAACAACCTTTCAAAAACAGAGCTTTGGGATGTTGGCGTGCTAAGCCTCTTGAAGACAGAGGTTCGGCCTTGACTACCAATGCGATTAAGCACTGAAATTCTGGAGCTTGAATGGCTCATCCTATCGAAGACCGACGTTCGAGGGGCGGGTTTAGGCTCTTTTTGGTCTTGTTCAATGCTCACGCTGATGTGTTGAGCGCTAGCTTTCTTCACTTTGCTTGAAATCTTCACAGGTGCATTTGGTGTGAAGCCAAGTCCGGCTTTGTTGTTGTCAACTCCGTAACCATGCTCCTTCAACTTCTTTTGAGTTTTGGTGAGGTTACGTTCTTTGTCATTGACGGTGTTTGAAACCTTCTTTCCAAGATTTGAAGAGGAAGCAAAGTCATGCCTAGCCTTTGACATGAGTTCGTAGGCATTTGGGTTAAAGCCTTCTTCGGTCTTCTTAGATGGAAGAGAGCTTGGTTTCATTTTGACGCCATGCTGTGCCTCCAGACGGTTGATGAGTCCGGCGGTTTGCAAGTTTTTCTCCTCTGCAGTCCGTGTGAGCTTTGCGATTGCTTCATTCATCTTAGCTAGTTGCTCCTCGATTGAAGTTACTCCAGTGGTCATGACTTGCATGGTTGTACTGCCGCTTGAATCAGCGTCGGAGAGTAGGGACTCTGAGTATTTCCTCAGGCTTTCCCCTCTTGATGCCCTTAGCGAGGCTAGGGTGATCACAGGCTCGTGCCTCAGGTGCTCTTGTTCCTTTGACAGAGTTAATGCAGGGGCGGAAGCCGCGGCAAAAAGAGCTCTTGCCTCACTTCGGGTTATGGTGCCCGAAATATCACCACTTGCGGCGATGATGTTCCTGTTCTTTGCTTTGATTGCAGGAACAGCTTGATCCTTTCTTGATGCCATTTGCGTTTTTCGATGATTTGAGGATAGAGATGAGAGGTAGAGATGTCCCACCGGGCGTGCCAAATTTGTGAACACGAAAAATTCCTTGAAACAAGAAACACGAGAATAACGTGTACAAAGTAATATTTTGTGTTTGATGATTTTGGGGTTACGATCTCTCTCAAATTTGGTCCTCTGATTCTATCTTCGTAAGATGTAGATTTGTTGATCCAAGGGCCGTCGAGGCTTGATCTTGGATGAACAGTTGTAAGTTTCTTCAAGGGCCTTCGTGGCTTTGATCTTGAAGGTTGATGGAAGTTTCTTCAAGGGCCTTCAGGGCTTGATCTTGAATGTTGATGGATGAGCGGATCTTCAAGGGCTTTTGGGCTTGATCTTGAAGAACAGTTGGTTTTCTTCAAGGGCTGTCGAGGCTTGATCTTGAATGAACAGTTGGTTTTCTTCAATGGCCTTTGTGCTTGATCTTGAAGAATAGATGTGTGGATTTCTTCAAGGGCTTTTGGGCTTGATCTTGAAGGTTGATGGATGAGCGGATCTTCAAGGGCTTTTGGGCTTAATCTTGAAGAACGGTTGGATGTGTGGATTTGTTGATGTTGTTGATCCAAAGGGCCGTTGGGGCTTGATCTTAGGATGAACGGATGAATGATGAACACTTTCTTCAAGGGCCGTCGGGGCTTGATCTTGAATTGGTGGAAGTTCTTCAAGGGCCGTCGGGGCTTGATCTTGAAGGAGGATTTGACGAAGAATGAAGAGTGCTTTCTCCATTCTTCGGGATTCTTGGGAATTTGGGGGTTGGATGCTTGAGAGCTTTAGAGTTTCAAAGCTTCAAGGATTTTGGATGTGTGGGGAGTATTCTCTTCCATTTTGGGAGTAGAGAAATGTATTTGTGAATTGGTTGATGCTTGATACCTTGATGGAGAAGCCTATTTATAGGCTTTGAGAATGAATCACCACCACAAAATATTTTTTTCTTTTCCAAGCACCATTGCCTAATTTTCCCACTTAATGCAATATTGAAATTGAAGTGGTGTAACTTATTGCCTAATTTCCCACTTAATACCATTTAAAACTTGAAGTGGTGTAATTTATGGCCTAATTTCCCACTTAATACCATTTTAAACTTGAAGTGGTGTAACTTATGGCCTAATTTCCCACTTAATACCATTTTAAACTTGAAGTGGTGTAACTTATGGCTTAATTTCCCACTTAACACCATTTTAAACTTGAAATGTGTATGCTTTGTCATTGCCCAAATGAGAAAACCTTGCTTTGATCCGTAATGGATTGAAGTTTGCTTGCCTTGTCATTGCCCAACATGAGAAGAAAAACTTGTTTTGATCCTCAATGGATTGAAATGTACTTGCCTTGTCATTGCCCAAAATGAGAAGAAAAACTTGTTTAATCCTTCAAGGGTATTTCTCCCTATTTTGTTGAGTCACACGCCACATGTATAATTTGTACAACACGTGGCGTATGCCATGTATGCCTTGACACGTCAAAACTTTAATGCATTGGCTTGAATTCTGGATATTGGTGAATAAAGCAAAGTCTCATGTTCATCTAGGTAAGTAAGATGTTCATCGTCGGTCTCTAAGTGGTTGAGAATTCCTAATGGAAGGCTTCCCTTTATTTATCTTGGGGTTCCAGTTTTTGTTGGACAACCTAAGGGTGCGTTTATTAATTCGTAATCATATTGAAAGAAATTGAATTAAAGAGGAATTTGATTGAGGATGAATTGAAATGAGGTGGAATCGGAATCAGATTCCTATTGAAGTTGTTTACTAAAACTGTTTGGAATCGAAATATAAATGATGTTGAATCTATATAAGTTATTTAGTAATTCACTTTAATCGGAATTAAAACAACAATGATTACTAAATTGCCCTTACATAAATAAATTATTTTCATACTAATTAATTAAATTAAATTCCACCCATCAAATCTCCTTGCTCCGTTCCTAATCCCCAAGTAACTCTTCATTTTTCTTCTTTTTCGTAAAGTCCGCACCACCCTCATACCCCAACTATCTTCAACTTCCCCCTCTTATTTTTCCATCTCCCTCCATCTCTCTTCAACCACACAGCCATTGGAATATTCCCAACAACCACCATAGCAGTGGATCCACCACCACTGCATCTTCAATTCCAGGTGTTAAGAGTGTCGTTCAATTGACATATGCGGCACCGAACGAGTTTCAAAACCATTGTTCACTAATGACAACCCATTCCACCAACTCAGTCTTCGAAGCCCATCGTGGCATAAAATCATCCAGAATCGTGATTAAGCTGGTGAATGTGCAAGGGAGTCGGCAGACTGGGCAAGGAGAGTCACATGTACGAAGGGGGAGGTAGAAGATATGGGGGTAGTTTGGGTATAAAAGTTGGATTCCCAGAAGAGCCTTCTCCTCGGAACCCAAATACCACCTCCATTTAGGGGATTCAATTCCGAGAGATTTAGGGATCCAATTCCTAATTTTAAGTGGACCCCATCTTGTTTTTTATTCCGAAAATGTTAGTAAACGGCTTGAATGCCTGGAACATAATGCAATTCTGTTTCTTGCCATTCCGTTCCGCTTATTTCCAAATTTTGGCAGACAAGATTCATAATTTTATATCTGAGTGGCGTGGTCATTCTCTTTCTACGTATTATTTCAACTATTGTTAGCATGTTATCTCACAATTTTTCTATTTATGCTTGGCCTAAGATTGTTTTATTACAAGTTCGCAACTGGACGCGCAATTTTATTTGGACAGAGAGTATAAATTCTCAGGCCCATTTTCCTGTTTCTTGGCCTACAATAGAATTGGTCTTTTGCGGCGCACAAAGAACACCGTAAATGGTTATTCACGGCATGAACCCCCAAGCAGTAAAAGCCCCCGTCGTAAAAAATGTTTTGTCAAATACGACGTACCCTACTAGTCGTGAATAATTTAAGCAAAACACGCCGTAAATGCATTTCAAGGCGTGCCTTGCATGCCTTAATTGGTATTAGATATGGTGTTAAGGGAGTGTTGTAATATTGCAAAAACAACTACAGCATACATATGTGCCGTAATTTATATCTAATACGACGTTTATTGAGTGTGATAATATTGTGAAGGCAATTACGGCATACGTCGCATATTGTAAAAAAAGACTACCATCAACAATTATTGCTAATTTTGCATCCGTAATTTACATTTATTATAACAATTCATTTTAGATGAACCTCACTTCATAACATCTAAATTAATGTTGTAAAGAATACAATAAAAAGATAGCAACAGTGATCATAAACACATTAAACTCAAAATACTTGGACTAATTAGTAGAAATTGTCAATTACAGTTCAATTGGAAGTTTTCACACAAACAAAAAATTTGAATTGTTTTGTTCCTCTTGCAATTGATGTACATCCTAAAGTTGACAGAGGAAACTAATGATGACTACAAAGCTGCATCCTACCAAAAAAGCAATCTCCCAAGCACATCCTCCATGTCCATAGAGCATCCAATTTTGATCACAAAATGCACCATACCAACAAAAATCAAAGCAATTCTTCAAGAAGTGCTGAGCTAATTCTCAAATCCTGTTAGATCATCCAGTTAGAAAAACCTAGCAGATCCGAGAGCAAAGAAACATAAACAGGTGAATATTAATGATGACGATGATCATAATAATTTTTAAAGAGTTCACAACAAAAAGTAGCGATTGCTAAATCTATATAACGAGATAAATCCACATGGATGGAGAAAGCCCATAACAAGTTGGGATCAAGTCACATAGGTTTTACCTTGGAAACTGAATACTAAATGAACATTCACATGCTCCTTGTGAAGTGGTGGTTTCATTCTTCCTCGCCTCCTATCACTTCCACCTTTTCAGTCAACAGAGTGATGTTTGTGAAGAGAACCTCTGCACAAAAGAAAAAACAACAGATTCGGAAAACGTTTCAGGTGTGCTCACATCACATAACAGTTGCAAACCAACTCATGGAGGCATGAAATTTCTCATGTATGACAGTAGAAGATGAATGATGCCAAGTTTATGATATGCAAGACAAGCGACAATTTGTAGTTGAATGATTAGAAAGCTAAGTGAAAGAAATGTGTTTCTTACCGGTCTTCTTGGTAAACTTATAGCCTTCACACTGACATAGGTACGAGGGGTGGGCACCAAGCCGTTCCTCAGGCATTCCCTGTGTCTCCTGAGCCAACAAAAATGTACAAAAAAATTTATATCAATACCAAATTAATACTCTGTTTTTCCCATTGAAACAACAAACCTTAGTTATCACACACCCATCAACATTGCTTCCAATTCCCAAGTCATTGAAAATTCTGACATAACATATTGCTTCAGTTACAAGCTTTATGCCTTCATCCCCTCTGCATCAAAGTAAATACCCAGAAATCTAAATGGGGACGTCACCGACTCACTACTAATAACCATATAATAGAATACTATTATAGGCATAAAATATGCAAACGCTATAGAAAATGCTAGTAAAGGCATAAAATACTATTTGATAGCATTTTTAAGAAAAAAAATGCTACAAATGAATGCTATTAAAGAGGGTTTGTGGTGTAGTGATAAACACACGGTGGCTCAATTCGAACTCCCCAACGATGCCCCCGCCACCAATTCCTTGGTACCACGATGAGGGAAATCATACCACCTACTCCTCAACTGTAGAAAACTATCCAGAAATTCATGCAACGATTTATCACTAGCCACTGACGAGAATGGGGCAGCAGCAACACAAGAACAGTGAAAATATTATCAAGAAATTGATTATTCAGTGTCAAGTTTCCAGCTTTTGCAAGTCAAGATGTAAATGACATAGCAATAATTTTACCTTGTCGCTGAAACCTTAGGTTTAACTTCAGCAAGCCAGAGAGCTCGCTGTTAAGAAGATCCACCACTCTTCGCAACTCCAAGGCCTTCAATCCACCTTCGTCGACGCCGAGCCCAGCCACCACCGCCTCATCCTGGGGCAAGTAATTTACGAAATTGCCACCCTGAGCTCTGCAGCGGTGTAAGTTTCAGCATTGGATTGCTGCTTGGGGAACGATTGTCGGAGAGAGGTGGAGAGCATGGGATTGGGATTCAGATTGGGCTCTCGAGGGATTGGATTGTTGTGGTCTGCATTCTTGGGGACAAAGACCCTTTGGGGTTTTGGGAAACCCTTGCTTGCGACGGGTCGCAGGTGACAATTTCGGTTCGACATGTTGTACCTCGCACTGAGTCCGATCGGGTCTCTATTGAGGGCAATTGAGACTCAGAGAGAGTTCGGCGTGGATTTGGGCGTCGTCACGCTAGAGAGAGAGAGAGAGACTGGAGAGATGAGATCCGTGGATTCAAGGTGTTTGGGTCACGGTGGTGCGACCGTGCGAGAGCCGAGAGGAGAAGAAAGAGGAAAGTGAATTGGGATAGTCTGGAATTGTATTAGTCTTAAAAGATTTTAAGTCTGACAATTCATTAGGCGCCATTACTTCCCGCTCTAGATTTGGGAAGGAATCTGAAAAGGTTAAAATCATTATTTACCAAGTGTCATTCATATCATAAAAAGTAGGGACCTAAATATATGAAAATTCTATTTTAAAACATAATGCAAATCCCCATCCAAGAACATTCCAATTCCCATTCCTCTGTTTGATTCCGAACCCCCCCTCCCCAATTAAAGAGAGAATCAAACCCCATGACATCGACTCTGATTTCGAATCCCATAGCCACCTCTGATCGAGCTTGGGATTCTTCTAGAAAGTAAAAGAAGAAGAAAATCCAACCCAAGCAAGACCACCTCCACCAACAAGAACCCGCCCACAGCCACACCAAGTGGAAGTCTGAGGCTTAGCTGACATGCCCAACCCCGATATCCCCACATATCAGGAAAAACAAGTGTTGGTCGACACCCAAGGGTGACGAAACCATTTTAAACATGCATGCAAATAAAAAATAAGTAATTAGAATGATTATGTTAAAGTAGGAACGTGTTAAGAGCATACAACTTAACCAGAACAATATGAAGGAATTACTAGGAAAAGATATGAATAAGATACGAATAAAGGAATGATACCTACGTTCAGAAGATTCAAGGATACCTAAGCCGAAGTGCCCTGACGCTGGGATTGAATGCCTCGATTCTAACTCCTGAAGGGGGCACAAAACAGAAAGGATGAGTGGACCAAAGTTTATAATAATAGTACAAATAATAAGAAAACCATTTTATTTTTGAACATAATAAAACCATTTTATTTTTGAACATAATAACCCCCTGTTTTGAAAACACATATATAATACTACATAGTAGGTTTTATAAAAACCCTAGCATGCCATGAAAAAACATTTGTTCTGTACTCAACTAGGGGTATCATAGTCCCCCGAAGGTAGTACCTGTCCATCTCCCGAAGGTGAAGCTATATAAAGTAGCATACATCCATATAGACACTAGCTGCGGCTAGTGAAGTTGTCCGACACTACTTTCAGCAGTGAAGCTGGGGGTATATAATATATCATATCTCACTCCTCCGTCATTAATGTCCTACGGCCATAGACATCAATATACCCGTGTTGTGTGGATATGTCGTATGATAACCCACTAAACAAGTACCAAAAACATATCTCAAAATCTTGTATCAAACATTGGAGCTCACTAGCTCAAAGTCTTATCTCATAAATCCAAGATAAATCGTATTCATGAAATCCATAAAATAATTCATGTTCATAAAACCATAATATAAATCGTATTCGAAAACCATAGAAATCCATATAGGCAAATCCAATAGTTCAATATACCTTTAATAAAACGTAATTTCGATAAATCAAACTATTTTGTAAACCATAATTATCAAAGTCCATAAAGCATATTATAAATCATATTCAAATCATGAAATATGGAATGCATGTTAGGCTAATATTTATAAAAACAAGTAAGTTAAGAAGGGGTCCACTCACTGCTACTTTATTCCCCGAGAGCCGCTCGAACTAGCATGAATGAGATCACCTTCACCGATGCACCTAAACGCACATATAGAGGCCATTTAGTAAAACTCTATTAAAATGATCGAATTTGAGAAAATGGAGCATGGATTTGTATTTGGGACATTGAAATTAGTCTAGGAGGAGTCTCGGACCAAACCCGAAAAGTCAACCCGAAATCAACAATCAATTGTCAACGTTGACCAGAAAGTCAAGGGTCACCGGGTCAACGTCGGGTTGGGTTGGGTCAACGGTTAGTGGGTTGGCCCGATTCATTTGGGTCAAATGGGTTAGCCCAATATTGATTTGGGCTTGGGTTAAGTTTAGGTGGGTTAGGCCTAGGATAATGGGTTATGGACATGGGCTCGGTTCTAGGGCTAAAAGGGTTTGGGATGGGTATTAGGTTTAAGGCTTAGGCTTAGTTTTGGATTGGGTATGATTATAAGGCCCAAATGTTAGGGTCGGTTTAGTTAGGGCTGGGCTGCCTCAGGCTGGGTCTGGCCCGTTACACTCGCGGGTCACCAGACCCTAAAGAAGAAGAAGGCCAGATTTCGGCCTGAATTTCCTGAGCTCCGATGGAGCTTAAATCTCAACTAAATATCACCATATAATATACCAAAATGAAGCCCGTGAAGCAAGGAATCGAACCATACTTATCTCATGGCCTATCGCCCCCGAAGTTGGCTGAAAAAGGTCAGCAAGTCTCGGGTTCCCTTGCTGAAATCTGGGGAATTCTCCTATGCCATTTCTGCATTCAAACTTAACCCATTCATGCATGTCGGCTCAGTAACGCATCAGAAATTCAAAAGTAAGAGAAGGATGGTGTCCTCGAGGCTTACCATAGTCGAGATCGTGGTGTACTCGTCGAAAAACCATTGGAAACAAGTGTGGTACCACTGTACAGGGAAGGAGAGGGAAGAAGGGGTCTCAGTCAGGTTTCGGTTCATGATGGAGAGGACTCGAGGGTGGTGAGGTCATCGGAAAGTGACCCACAATGGTGATGATCCAGTCACCCTGTGGTGTTTTTTTGTGTGTATGTGTGTGTGTTTGTTCATTGAGAAAAAGAGAGATAACTGAGAGATGAGAGATATGAGCTGAGGGAAGAAGAGGTAAGAGCTGGGGAGCAAGAGAGAGTGTATTTCGGGAAAAAAAAAGAGGGTGATAATTCTGGAGAGACAATTTCTGAGAGAGATAGAGAGAGAGAGAATGCAGAGAGGAAGGTTACCCTAGAAATAGGGAGGGGATCAGCCACATGGCAACCTAGGGGAGATCCTAATGAAGAAATATCTTCAATTATAAAATTACTAAAATGCCCATATGTTTCGAATTCCGTAAAATCTTCATTCTAACTCCAAATTTGAATCTGCTTGCACCCACGCGTTCGTAGTGACGAGTACTACGAGTATACGCTAAAAAGGAATCTTACATGGCATGACAAGGTGGTCAACAAAATCAATGTTTTCGCCTTAAAAGGCATTTTCGTAAATTCACATTTTAAAATTATAAAAATCGTAATATTTGGGGACATGTCATTACAATCTACCGCCTTAAGAAAATTTCATCCCCGAAATTTAAAATAACTTGTTATATGTACGATACTCGAAAATAGGGAGAAAAATGTATATATATACAAGGGAGAAATCAGGTTAGAGTGGCTGCATAAAGAAGAATGCCATTTCATCGTGATTGGATTGCAATGATTCTTCTTTCATGCCTCCAAGCTCATACCTTATTCCTTCCTCAATAATATAGTAGTACAACACCCACATAAAACATAAAGTTGAAAATACAAATAATTATGTAATAACGTAAGAGCAAAAATATATGCGTATAATAAGACAACTACAAAAATTGATATATATATATATATATATATATTGTTCAAATACTTGTACTTAGTTTAAAATCAAGAGTGGAAATAACTCACCCAAAATTTGAAATAATAAAAATACACATATGTAAATAAAATAATGTAGTTTGAAAATATTTGCTTGGAAAAACAAAACCAAGAATGAAAATGAGCCTTGCCCAAACATTAGTCATGTCACGTACTCCGAGAATGAGTGTGTCTTGAGTCGAGTCCTAATCATAGCAAACTAATAGCTCATGTTGTCGATAGGTCAACTTACCCACTTGCTTAGTGAACCCAACAATTAAGCTATTGATACTACAGTCTGCAGTCTGTAATGCCGATAACTCATCTTTGTCTCGGTAAGCAAAAGAGAAGTTCCTGAATCCTGAGAATGCCATAATACCATTTTTGCTTCCCAATTCACGCCTCAATTACTTTGTCGTACTATCCTAGAACGCACCAATCAGAGCTACTAGAAGTGCTTCGACATCCACGTGAACATGAACATTAAGGTCCTAGAGTGAAGTAGTTGAAATATGCGTAGAAGCGAACACATGTTGTAAAACATTTCTTTCGTGACTAACCACGATGATCGTTATCCTGATTGAAAGGTATAAAATTTGAGACCTATATTAGAAGAACCATAATTCTGACTGCTTCCTTCGAATAATGTTTACCGCTTCAAACTATTCATAGAATTGGTCGCAAAATTACCAGGCTCGGAACCCAAGATGGAATTTAATCTCAGTAGATGCATATAAAAGGTGTTTTAGAGTTGGGTGGGAGACACCCTTAAAATATTTAGGCAAATGAACTTATATATATATATATATATATATATATGTATATTGTTAGAAAAGAACTACTAGAGTACGATATGATGCCTATGAATTGTAGCAAGATAATAAGAGGTGATTGTTCATTTCTCCGTGTAGTTAGTGATTGGTGATGCAATCCACTGACCACTTGCATTATTACTTTCACCAATCCCTTACTAAAAGACAGCTCAAAACCTCACAACCACTTGGAACTCTTCCTGGTAAGTCTAGTAAGCTTGTGAAAAGGTTATGCTCATAACGTTCCTATCCGAATTGATATGAACTAGGCGCATACTTCAGCCGAGTCGATCCCTCTTGAATTCCTTACAGATTTAGTAAGAAATCATGTTAAGAAGGCTAATGATCTTAACTAAAAACTTCGACGTCTGAGTGGTTCTCCTAGACAGTCTGTCCACTTCAGAAATGATACGAAGAATAGTAGGGTAACTCGATATTGACTAAGACATATTTTAGTACCAGAAGCTGAAACTAGGATTACGAACAAAGTTAACGTGGACCAAAATGTCAAAAAGTCTGGAAGATTCAAGTGAATGAGGAATTCGACCAAATGGTTCTAGGTATATTCCTCACGGATTGATGGATAGTACACCGAATGAGATGGTCAACAAACATCGAATCATTACCAAAGTCTCCACGGAGGGTGTTATTAAGTTTTCCAAGTACAGATGGTAATTGTTAACCCTAAGTAAAAGACATGATGGTTCACTTCATACAATGCTGATGTCGAAAGAAATTAGCGTCACACGATCATGCTGCAACCGTGCACGACAAACCATTCAGTA